CGCGTGGTGTCCGAGCTGCCCACACTGGGCGAGGCGGGCACGGAGGGGAGGCTGGCGGGCGGCGCGTCCCTAAAAGCATGTGTGCCTCCCTCGCGCTCTTTATGTTTGGGGCTGGACGAGCCAACTTACCTGGAAAGGCGGCTTGCGGGGCCTGGGGGGGTGTGTTGGGTGGAGCATCAGTTTCAGATATTTGAAATGAAAATTTGACGGGACGGAGCTTTTATCACCCAGGACTTTAACCTCTAATGAATGCATTCAGATTACTTTTGTTGAATAGCTCTTATGTTCCCGGGGGTGGGGGGAGTCTTGTTTATGGGAAAACATGTTAGTTATTTCAAGCAAATATACTCCCATAACGGTGAAAGTGGTTGAAAACTGTTTAGCTAACTCCTCTTTTTCAAAAGAGCAACGGTATTGCAGGCTCTCATGCATTTTTGGAGTAAAAATAATTCACTTTTTACGGTGCTACTCATTCAAAGTGCATAGGGTTTATGAATAATCAGCTTCATTTGATTTTACTTAGAATCAGTTTCACTTTCTTTTCTAAATACAGTATTTGGTTTGTAAAGATTTAAGGCTAATCGTGTTTTATTTACTTAACTATAATTAAAATCAAGGCTGTGTCCTTTTAAAACTTGTGTGTCTCAAAACGGAAATGGTACAAAAACCTGTGTTACGTTGTTTATGAAGAACTATAATGTAACAGTTTCTGTTTAAATATGTTGATGTGTACTTTAGTGCAAGTGAAGTGCCACAGTGTTTAAATAGTGATACTCTTTAAAACGAAAAAAAATGCATTCTTAACATTTGGTCACCATGAGGGAGGGAGACTTACCTGTGTGTAAAGGACCAGGGATTTTAAAGCTGTTGAGTAAAAAATTGCACTTAAAGCAAAGGTAACATTTGTGAAGTTGATTTGTCTCATTCTTACACATGCATCAAACTTTGATTCGTGTTCCTGTTTTTTTTAACATGCTCTGGTAACTTTTGTATATCTTTAGGAGGTGTTGAGAGGAATGTTAAACTTTTCATTGGAGTAGTTTAAAAGTCTTGATATTTATAGCAGTAGTTTTTAGAAGCTTTACTGACATTAAAGAACATGGAACTATTTGAATCTTAACATTGTTTGGCTGTAAGAAAGGTCATCTCTGTGGCAGATGGAGTCTGGTTTGATAACTGATGGTTTTAGAGTAAGATTTCATTGCCTGGATATATAATCAATGAATTTGGTTTATATTTCCAGACTTGTAATAATATTATTACTGATGAGTTGTATTTTCCTTACATTTATTTTTCATTTAAGGTTTTCTTTTTCTCTTCTAGAGCAAATAAAATGGTTTTATTTGGTTATTTGTTAATCATTGTCCCAAAGTAATGTTTATCAGGAAAATCGAGACTTTTGTTGCTATTTTATATTATCATACATAAGGCTAGATTAGCCTTTTTATTACTTAATTTTGGCTTTCTTTTCCTACTCTGCTGTCTCTTTTCTAACACGTTTCCATATCTGCTGATAGGTCAGGAGAATGTGAACTTCATTAGAATGATAGACTCAAGCTTTCTTCTTGAATGAGAGTCAAGTATTTACAGTTAAAAAATTAAATCTTTTAAGCTTACTAAGATCTAACATTTTCTTTTCTGTTTCTCCATTAGCATCCCAAACTTTTAAGGTTGTACTGTTTGGGTAACAATCTTGCTTAGTTAAAAATTATACACAAAATCTTACTGTGAGCACCAAGTGCACGGTAATATTTGCTGAAGTGGGACATACATGGTATTTTTTGAGACAGTTTATTTTTTGAGATAGTTCAAGCTTACCTTGAACTCACTGTGGAGCCCAGGATGTCCTTGAACTCATAGTGATGCCCCTGCCAGGGCCTCCCGAGTGCTGGGATTACAGCATACACCATGTCCGCATATGGGTACTTTAAAGGTAGCTCAAATTTCAGTATATGTGGACTAAGAGTATTTAAGGGATTAAATGAGATGCCATATATAAGTAATTTAACATAAGCTGGTGCTAGAAGCAAATGCTAGTTACTTCCTTGTTTGCAGAAATTTTGTTCATTGAACATGTGTGAAAAGTTTTCTCTATACTAGGTCATGATATAAAAACATGATATGCTTTGTTTTTAATGTTATATTTTTATGACCATATGATATGTTCTCTACTATGATATGAAAACATACTAGAGATCACCAAGTAAAATAGCTGTAGAGTAAATACTAAAGTGCTGCTGTAGAAATCAGCACAAGGGTGCTGGAGGAGCTTCTAGGAGAGGTTTTTAACTTAATCTTAGGGGAAAGGAATTGTCAAGGAAAGTGTCCCAGAAGAAATGAGCTCTAACCTGAGTAGAAATGTTAACTGGCCAGAGGGGAAAAGATAGGAAAGAAAGTAGACTTTTAAAAAGAATAGCATGTGCACAGTCCAGAGAGTGGGGCTGAAATATAAACTGAGTGTGGTGGGGACATCATAGGGAGTGCTGGCAGTCACTAGGTCAGAGTGCCAACTCTAGGGTCAGGACTGGTGCCATGCATGCAGAGTTTCTCCATGATAGTGGCATACTTGGATTGGCTGCCTGGGCACTCTAGGAAACATAACTTTTAAGTACTCTGTTGAAGGTGGTCTAGTGAGGAGGAGGCCTGGCTACTCCTGGTCCCAGTTTCTAACAAGTTGATAAACCTTGTGAAATCTTGTTTTGTTTTGTTTTTTTTTATTGGTACATTTAAGGTGTACAATATAATGACATTCATCATTGGAAATTTGCACCTTTACATAATCCATCTTGGTTCTTATTTTTTCCCCATCACCCTGCCCTCCCTTAACCCCTCCACCCTTCCCTATCTACAAAGACTTTGTCCTTTTTTGTTGTTGTTGTTGGTACGGGGGATCGAACTCAGGACCTTGCACTTGTGAGGCAGGTGGTAGAACCACTGAGCTAAATCCCATAGACCTTGTGGATTCCTGTGTGATCTTTCATAGTGTCATTATGAAAATTAAACAAGTTAATGTTTGTCCATCAGTACAGTCCCCTGAACAGTGCTTAGTTAGTAGCTTTAAAATAGGATTTAGAGAGAAAATTATAATTAAGTACTTTTATAACATGTATTTGTGTTCAAGTTTGATGTCAAAAGTCCTACAAGTTTTATTTTAAAAATTGTAATACTGGGGGCTGGGGATTTAGCTCAGCGGTTCGGTAGCCTGCCTTGCAAGCGCAAGGACCCAAGTCCGATCCCCGGTACCAAAAAAAAAAAAAAAAAAAAAAATTGTAATACTGTATAAATGAACCTCTTTTCAGAAAAATGTTTGTTCCAAAGATGAGACTTACTATAACTATAATTTCTTAAGAGTATAATGTACTTCATACAATGTTGTTTTGTACTTTTTTGAGGCAGAATCTTTACACATAGTCCAGGGCTGGCCTTGAATTCCCTGTGTAGCTCAGGCTGGTCTCAAACTTGAGATTTTCCTTCCTCAGCTCATGGTGCTAGTATTATAGACATGCACCATTATGCCCTGTTCTCATTTTGGACTTTAAGCTAAAAAAAAAAAAAAAAAAAAAAAACAAAAACTTCACGTAGTGTAATAGTTTATTAGTACTAGTTCCCAGTGTTAGATACAAGTAGGTACTTAGTAAATATGAGTATATGTAGAATTAGAAATTAAAGTGATTATAAACTGAAATATACTTTTAGGAGGCCTTCAAATACTTTATTAAAGTTTTTTTTTGGGGGGAGCTGTGGATCAAACTTGGGACCTTGCACTTGTGAGGCAGGTGGCAGAACCACTGGGGTAAATCCCTGGCCCTTTATTAAAGATTTTGAATGAAAAATTATTGATATTTTTGGATTAGCATGATTCTAAATGTCCCAAGAAAATTATTAAAAAGTAGTAGAGGGCTGAGGATATAGTTAAGTGGTAGAGTGCTTGGCAGGCATGGGTGAGACCCTAGGTTTAATCCCTAGCACTGCAAAAAAAAAAAAAGAAAATACTGCTGCTTTTATACTTGGATAGTTTGTTTGAAAATAATTTAAAATGGATAGAAAACATTCCAAAGATTACTTTTCTTACTTTATGAAATAAATGTGGGCTTTTTGACTTGCAGAATTGAACAATGACCATAGTTGACAAAGTTGAATCTTCAGACCTCTCAGCCTGTCAGAATCAGCCTGGCAGTTCTGAGGCAGTCTCACCTGGAGACATGGATGCGGGCTCTGCCAGCTGGGGTGCTGTGTCTGCATTGAGTGATGTTTCCAGTCACACGCCTTCTTTAGGACCAGTACCTGGTGCTGTCTATTCAAATCCGGCTGTACCTGATAAATCAGAGCTATCACCACAAAAGGATCAAGGTACTATTTTTTTTTTTAAACATTGCCAGATGCTTCTGTGTGAATGCTGTCAATGGGTTGGTAGTTTCAGAGAGGGGCTTATTTAGTAAGAGATATTGCCACGTGGGTGGCCAGCATTATTTGATGAAAAAGAAATTATTTTCCTTTAGTGAGTAAGCATTCGTTATTAGCATTCATTAATAACATTCATTATTAACAGGGTATTATTCTCTTGTTACTAAAATATGAGTAAGTTTTTTTATTTGTAATGTTTTGAAGGACAAACTATCTTGAAGAGAATGGAGATGACCAAGCTTTATATTTCCAGTTTTCCAGTAGTTATAGTTTCCTAAGTAGATACAGTATCTATCTTTGGAAAAGAGCAGATAATATAAGTGTTACATTTGTTGAAATTCATCCATATAAATGAAACATTGATGCTTTTAATTGGTACTTTTAAGACTTGGATTAAAAGTCTTGAAGATTTGAAATACAAAGAAAGGTAATACTAGACTTAGTTGCTAATTGAAATGTTGTCTAGTTTAAAATATATCACAAAACACAGACAGTTTGATTGAATATTGCACATAGAGTTTTACAATCCTTTGGCTTTACCATGAAGACTTTCCCACAGGCCATCTTTCCTTAAGGCTCCAGCTCCTATCATGTTGCTGGGGTTTTCCTTTCTCTCCCTTAGGACTTGGCTCACATCTCCTCACTCTGTCCTTCTTGGGGACTCTTGTCTTACAGGCTCATTTCCCATCAAGCCAAAGCCTATTAAATAATTATTAATATCCCCTCAAATAGAGAACCACTATAGGCCATCGTTGCCTTTCATAACACCAAGAGACTAGCCATCCTTTGAAAAATTAGTTTTGCTACTGGTAATTTTGAACTTTCCTAGTAGTTTCTTCAATATCACTTGTATTCTTAGTTACTAGTAATCTTTAAAAGCCTTGACAATAGATACAAACCTTTTTAGGACACACATATGTAGTACACTTACAAGTAACAGCCTGGTTCAAAGACAGTAGTCTTAGTGGTAAATGGGGACATCAGTATGAACCATCAGAACTGAAAATGACCCCTGGGAAGGCTCAGCTGCTGTGATGGTAAGAATGGAGGTGGTACTGAACAGGCATCCAAAGTAAATATTAAAGGGAATTGGGTTATCTTATGTATTCTGTTAGTTATAATGAACTCCTATGAAGTCACCAGCCATTCTTGACATGTACTAACTTAGAGCCAGCTCACCCACTGACCCTGTCCCCAGTATTTTAAAAGCAAATCCAATATTTCATATTTAATTTCTAAATATTTTAGTGTGTATATGTGTAGAATTCTTTTAAAAGTTACAGATGTCTGTTAAAAATCTAGTCAATATTCAGATGTCTGTGGTTGTCATAAAATTTTTTTTCAGTACTAGAATACCAGGGATTGAACCCAGGAAGTGCTGAGCTATTTTTTTTATTTATTGCTAAGTTGTCCAGACTGGCCTAAAACTTGCCATCCTTCTGCCTCAGTCTCTTGAGCAGCTGTGACTACAGGTGTGCACTATCATGCCTGGCTATATAATTTGTTTTCAGTAGTCATTGAAAGCAGCAACCAAATGGAGTCTGCACTTTGCATTTGTGGATATGTCTGTGAAATTTCTTTTAATTTGTAAACCTCCCCACTTTGTTTGCAATTTATTTATTGAAGAAACTGAATAGTTTCTCATATTCTAGGTTGTCTTTTTAAATGTCCCTTTCTAACCTTGTATTTCTGGCAGTGATAATGAGATTTAGAATTTTGATTTATTTGGCTTTAGAAGTATGTCAAGTTTTGTTTTTAAATCTTTGCTGTTTATTTTTCTAGCCCTAGGTGATGGCATTGCTCCGCCACAGAAAATTCTATTTCCATCAGAGAAGATTTGTCTTAAGTGGCAACAAACTCATAGAGTTGGCGCTGGGCTTCAGAATTTGGGTAATACCTGTTTTGCCAATGCAGCATTGCAGTGTTTGACATATACACCACCTCTCGCCAATTACATGTTATCACACGAACACTCCAAGACATGTAAGTGTTCTGAGCTGTGGTGAGTTTGTGGACTGTGGTATGCTAACCTACTCAATTTTTTCCCTCTGATTTGAAAAGAATCAAGTTGAGTTATGTGATCATTAAGAAGTTGGTTTATTCTTTTAGAATCCAGGATTTGTATTTAGCTTACCTGAGAAGCATACTGCATCTAATTTGACCTGGGATTGGGTATTTAAAAGGAAACTTATTTTATCATCATTTAGCATTTCTAACTCCCTCCTGGTTTTCTCCATTTGTTAAAAATGTTTTTGTTTTCATTTTTGTTGTACTGGGGATTGAATCCAGGATCTCACACATGCTAGGCAAGTGCTGCACCACTGAACTACACTCCCAGTTCTTACACTTATTAAAAATGTGACATAATGTCTGACATTAACAGTTGGGACAAACGGTTAAAAAACCTGTCCCTCTGGTATTCATTGGAAGGCTTGATTCATTTCAGGCTTATAACTCTTAGCACTGCCTCCAACCTTGTCATACAGGACTTTCTTTTAGCATTTGAGAGCTCCATCTTCAATCTACAAGGCAGAAAATCAGTTAAAACATATGAAGATGTCTTTAAATAGGAGCCAGCTCAATGTTGACTAGCAAAACAATTTAGAATATCCACTTTTGACCTCCGGCATGTCTGAATCTGTCATCTTATATAAATGAAGTATTCCTGTTCTTTACTCTGAATTAATGTTCATATTTATATGTGCACTCTGGTTCTATATGTCAGTGATTTGGCTAAAACAAATGAAAAAACCGCCTTAGTTTTTTCTTGAACAATTCTTTACTGAATAGAGAATTTAAACTGTTTTACAACTGTTTTTTTCATCAAAAGAGCAAAGTAATACTTGTATTTGGTAAGTACAGAAAAACTTAAACCAAAGAAAAATCACTTAGAATCTCATCACCCAGAAGTATTTGCCATGCCAAGGGTTTTTAAATTATAGAATGAACATTCTGTTTGCCCTCAATTTCTAAGCCTCCGTTTCATTCCTTACAGACAGCTTTCCTATCACTGTTGTGCTTAGTGAAAGTAGGGTGTGGCTGAAAAACCCAGTACTGGCACCTGTACAGCAAGAAAAAGTATACATGTCCTATATATATTTTGTCCTGTTTTGTTAGATTTATACCTTTTTTTATCCCGGAGATTGAAGCTTACGCTTATGAGGCAGGTGGAGATTTATACCTTTTTATTCCTCCTCCTCCTGTTTTTTTTTTTTTTTTTTTCTTT